AATTCGCGAATTTGAATCAATTCCATAACCCAAAGATGGATCATGGAAAGGAATACTTTATATCAAACGAAATTTATCAAGCTAGATACCGGGCTAATTTGTTACGCATGTGACAGTGAAGTTGGTATCATAAGTGCAGTAAACACGAGAAAAAACATGGTGACTCTTAACAAAGCCATTAAGTGCTAGTCATGTCAATTCATAAAAACTCAACACTGTCCAATTACGGTGCTAGAAAGCCTTAAAAGTCGTCGGTTATGCAAAATACGTTGTGTATCTTTGGCAATCAACTTTCATTTCCACGGATCTCCTTCATATGGCGGGTCTCGGGCCAGCTAGGTGCGAGGTTACGGGGCGCGTCCACCATTGGCGGATAGGGGGTTAATCGCAGACCAAAAGCAACCTTTGGATCCTTTGGATCAAGTGGATCCAGGAAATGGACTCCCTCTTACTGTTGCGTGGATTTGGCACATACTTTTGTATTTACGAGGGTTATTCATGAATGCGTGTGTGGTGGTGTTCTAGATTATCCCGATTGTATTCTACAAGTCAAATCGGACAAAAGCCTGTAATCAAGTGACATGAAAGTACATGGAAGGCGGTTAGAAGTTGTCTCCAAAGATTTAGCTTCCTCACCTACTCTTGGAGAGACTAGGAAGCTATACCCGTGAGTACACCCAGTCCGCACGTTCAGAGCCCAGCAAACTATACGTCGGTATCAAAGTGCTAAACACAATAAGTGAAACGGCCCTCGTTTCCCTGACCCCGGAGCTCCCAATTCGGCAGCGTTGAGAAGAACGAGTACGGAGAGGCCGCTAAAAGCTCAGGGCCATTCTAAGCCGCTTAAATCGCAAAGAACTAAGGTGAAGATCTGTACCTACAATGCACGCACACTCATTCGAGTCCTCGATTGTGGAGACGATCATGCAGGAAAGAAGGATAGGGAACGACGCCGTCGGACTGGCCGATAGGAGACGACGAGACCTACTGAACGCCGTCTGACACCGAAAAAGAACTGTTCCTCGGAACAGAGGAGTTGGCGGCGTCGGCGTTTTCGTCAACACAAGTTTGTCCATGAACATCGATTCATTCGAACAACTAACAACCCGAATCGGGCGTTTATGATTAAAAAGATGTGAATCAATACCGGCTTTGACAATCTTCGTCGTTTATGCGCCGACATCAAACCATGACGAAGAAGAAGTCGAATCATTATAATATGGACTTGGAGAAGTTCTACAGAGAAGACCATACATTCTTTAATTCATCACAGGAGATTTCAACGCTAAGTCAGATTAGGACCCATGGATTAAACTCGAACGAGCAGGGTGAGCAACTGGCTGACTTCATCATGACGACCAAGACCATCCATGATAACTCGCAATTCTAGAAGCCCCATTCCCCCCAAATCTGGACGTGGGAGTCTCCCAATGGAGAGTACCATGACGAAATAAACCACATCATAATAAATCGAAGGTTTTCCCTAACCGATGTCGCTGCTCTTCCAATTTATCGCGGAAAGAAGCCGCTAAATTCGAAAAAAAAAACTAAGTCCCAAAACCACCGTAAACTGGAACTTATTCGATTCATTAGTCACTTGTTGGAAAGATGTTGTTGTCGATAACATTGACGAAGAATACGATCGACTCATTCAACATCTTCACGTTAGCGCTATGAAAGCTGAGAGTTCGAAAGTCACCAAGAGATGTCTATCTCCGGAAAGACTCGAGCTGATACGTCAGCGTGGAATCGCGCAAGATGCAGGCAACCACGAACTAACGTCTGAACTTGCAAAACAATGCAGACAGGTGATAAAATAAGATCATAAAGAGAGAAGAGCAGCAGTTATGGTCGAAGCTGCAGAGGGTGGGAAAAGCACTGGCAAAGCCCACCGTAGCTTCGCCAATTACAAGACCAAGATGGTTGCACTCCGACGGCCAGGCGGGGAAAAGTTATAGCGTCAAGAAAGGCAATGGAAAAAATTATTCGCGAATACTACTCAGATCTCTTCGATAGCCACGTCCTCCTGCTCTCACATGCAGTAAAGGAGGATGTATATGTTATACCACCGGTTCTCCCTTCCGAAATCCGACATGCTATTTCGTCGGTGAAAAATTGAACAGCACCAGGTCCGGACAGGATAAGACTAAAACACCTGAAGAACTTTCCGCCTGTCCTCGTAAACACACACTGGCTCGGATCTTCACACGTTACCTGTCTGAATGCAAGGTCTCTACTAAGTGGAAGATCAGCAAAACCATGTTATTGTTCTCGCCCAATCTGAATGCTGTCTGTCGTCTACAAACTTTTCTTTCGAGTCATCCTAAACAGGATTGACAAAACACTGGACAAAGGACAGCCATGTAAGCAAGCAGGAACTCGAAAAGGATTTAGTACGATGGGCCACAACCACACGGTAGCACGGCTCATTGAAGTATCGCGAGAGTGCAAAAGACCGCTCTGTCTCACTTTCATCGATTTAGAGAAGGCTTTTAACTTAAATAAAATAGAAGAATTCATAGAAGCCCTTGAATGTCAGGGAGACCTTGCTCAGTATATAAAGATTCTTTGTGAGCTTTACAAAAATTCCACAACCAAGGTATCATCATTCTACAGCGATGTTAACATTGACGTCAAAAGAGGAGTTAGGCAATGCGATACCATCTCGCCAAAATTATTTACCGCCACCCTCCAGAACGTTATGCGAACATTGGAATGGGATAATATGGGAGTGAAAATCGACGGTCGGCAGTTACACCATCTTCGCTTTGCCGATGACACCGTTCTTGCAACAACAAACACTAGCCAAGCGAAACGAATGCTTGCCGATTTTGGTAAAGCTTGTGGAAAGATCGGTCTTCGACTAAATCTCACAAAACGATGTTCATGAAGAACAGATTGGTTTCGCATGCCCCATTCACGCTCAACGGAACAAATATCTCCGCATGCTCCAGTTATATCTACCTAGGTCAAGAAATCAATATGAACGACCTGGCTCCAAAGCTGAGCAGAAGGAAACGAGCGACTTGGGAAGCTTCTAAGAGCATCGAGGATGTATTGAAGAGTAAAAAAAAACCTAGAAAGAAAAAGTAAGAAGACTGCCATATGAGGACTGAGAACCTCGTCCGACATATATGTTCATGCGCCAAAACCACTGCTGAGTTTTCACTAATTGATAATAATGTCATCATCATCAGGGTAGCTAAGAAGTTGGGATCTTAGAAGACTTAAATGAGAAACTTTGATCTGTTGCTCTACAAGGATAAGAGATAATGCTACCGGCGTTGATCAATCTCTGAAGCATTCGACATCATTAAGCGTCGTTAGAGGTGAGTGAATAAATATTTCGCCTAAATATTGACTCGTGGTTGCCTACCGACACATGAGTGCTACTATCCTCCCAGACAGATCTGGTACCAATCTTCCGACTCCGGGGATAGAAGGCTTTGTGATACTGTGGCGCGGTATCGTAACCCATGTGCGTTTAAGGGGAATTCTAACTAGTACACTATACGCATCTCTACAAGGTGTACACAGTTTTTACAAATATTTTACAACTCTAAGCATTTTCTAGAATTAAAACTTTCAAAAAAAAGATGGAAACATAATTCATATAATCATAAATTCAAATGCAAGCATTTCCATCGCAAACACCAATGATACACTGAGGTGAAAATTGAAAAAAAAGAACAAAATATTGGTTGTTCAATTGCTATGGTATTCGAAATACGAGTCTGAAGGGAAAAAAAGTGGAAAATAATTTCTCTTGTAGTATGTAAAAACAATAAAATACTTTTTGTTGTCTCGAAAAAAGAACAGGAAATTATTTTGGCAGAAGATCAGAATGGCTAGCTGGATGACTACGATGTCTAAATTCTACTGTCACTTATTTAAATTAATAACCCACTGTGAGCTATGTTGAATTAATGCACAACACTAGCTTGTTCCCGATAATTGACGATAATTTCACACCAAAAATATTGGAAGAGTTCAGAGCCTCTCATATGCACACGAAAGACTGCGTGTTATAGTCATGTGTATATACACATATGTATATATACATATGTAAATAATGCCCATAAAATTTATATGAAAATGAAAGAAAAATCAATTTTAAACACTCTTAAAAGTAAAATTCTCAAAAAAAAAAACTGAAGAAAATTTATATTTTTAAACATTCTGACATGAGCGAGGCACCCGAAAATAACAGCGTGGACTGGAGAACACCACTGTGCCCTACTGAATGAAAACCCGTTTACCCCGTTTTATTTGAGTTCAATATACACGAACTTTGACGATAAAGGTACGTGAAATAACGTACAAGCATTTCGTAGACGCCAGAACACTTTAGAACTTCATCTAGTAGGATAACTAAGTAATTATTTTCGCACTAAACACATTTTATTCAACGCATGTCGGGCATTATCCATCAGAGTTGAAAGTGGCCACTGTTTGACAAGCAAAGAAAACAGTACCTGCGGAACAAGACTTGGCAAAATATCAACAGCAGATAAGATATTTATGTGGCTCTTTGAATTCTATGGTGTTAACAGACAAGAAGGCTACTGCAAAAAAAGAAAATCACTGTTACAAGATACAGAAACTTACACGAGACTTCTCTAGCCTGGACTCATTCCGAGGCAGCGATCGTTGAGCTAAGCCTCTAAAAATATACGTTCTGACAATTTAGTTAAACCTTTCCAAGACCTTCTCTAATCTTCCAAAAATATTAACCAGAAAATTTTTAACAAATGAGAGAATTATCTGTACCTATGAAAAATTATTCTCGCTGAGTTTTGAATATCGACCTCTTATCTACTACAACTTCTGATTTTTAAATCGAATTATCTCAGAGTACGGGGATTATATTAGTACGGGTCGTTCGCACCCGTGAAGAAATCTACTCAGGAATTGTCGCACCAAAAAAATCAACGGTAAGGAAATACGTTCCAATTCAAAATTTTATTTAATTGCAAGCATATCCAGAAAATAAGTGAAGGTCAGAGGTTTCTCAATGTTAAGAAAACTTATAATACATACTTCTGGCAGTTCTCCGCAAAATGGCCTATACAAAGGCATTTTCGACATTGCCGAGTGCTAGGTGCTGGGCCCAACTGGCACGTCTTTAGTAGCAAACTCTAGAATTACCCCTATTAGAGAAATAGTTAGCACGGAAAAAAATGGCAGTTAGATCTTAAAGAAAACACACGCACGCAAAATTCATAAACTCACCCCATAGGCCTCACAAAGATGGTACGGCATTTCTTCTTCAAGCAGTACACCTTTCACTTTCAAGAAGTTACTTCGAATATCGGATAACAGGAAACGTTTTCGCGAATTATGGATATTTTGGATAATAAACACGTACACTAAATGATAAACTGCAAAAGACAGAAGAAAAAGGGGAAAAAAAGGCGAAGAGCTCACTTTTCTTTGAAACACCTGATCCTAGATTGTGTAAAAGATCGAATGGATCTTCAATGCATATAGATCGATGCCACATCTTTTCACATTTCAACAATGGTTTCTTGCGACGGATTTGTACGACCTATAAAATAATGGCACGGCGATAACAAACGATATAGAGAAAACTGGATATGCAGTATATATATATATATACATGCATATATATGCATACATGTGTATATATATACGTATATATATATATGTATATGATCTAAAAAACTTGTACACTACAGCGCTGTATTTGATTGCATCGGATTTCAGCGTAAACGAAATGTAATTCCATTCGATCACGGCCAGTAGGAAATGAGATGACTAGAAATGTTGTTAAATCCGCATGGCCTTATATAAATGTATTGCTTATGTGAAGTTGACCCATTCAAATAGCGAAGGAGGCAGTCGCATTTGAAGGATAAAAAAAAGCATAAAAGTTTCGGCGTTGATGAATCCCTGATGCGCCATGCATTCGATTTCACTAAGCATCATTGGAGGTGATTGGGTGCATATCTGGCCTTTACAATGGTTCGCAGTAGCATACCGATGTATCCAGCCAATGATGCTAACATCCCAGACAAGTCTGGCACCAATTTGCCGACCCTAGAGGGATGGAAAGCCTGGTTGGCCACGGGCGCGGAGATCGATCCTATGTGTGTGTAGCAGGGCGCCTCCAATCACTGCGCCACACGCGCTCCTGCAGTACATGTTAAGATGCTAAAATCCCAAATAATTCTTGACAGCGACTGGTTGTTTAAAACATCAACGAATACGTGAGCACTGTACAACTCATATTTTTGTACTACTGTATTTATGCAGACTAATTTTGCTTCCATGTATCTTCATTGACATATCAGTGCACAAGATTTTACATACACATGCATGTCTTATTGTATTGATTCAGTATTTCTTGAAATTTGGAGTATGAAATTTTAAAACCTCCCAACGGTTTACCGCCTGATCGTAGCTCGGAGTTCGTTCATCGTGTTTTGCTGAGTGACGGGTTTCGATGTACAGCGGGAGGATTCATCTCCTCCCCCACCAGCAGGGTCTTCCATGATGGGAAAGAGTCTGGTGTTTCCATCAGGATGCCCAGTTAAGAGTAAGCCAATAGCAAGATCTACCACCTTGGTATGAAGCTAGTCACATAGTGGCAAATGTCCTTTTGATCCACAAGTGCGGCGACTGGCCGTGGTGGTGGCGACACGGGGCAGAATTTGGTCTGACTGACCCCGGGACTCCAGCGAGCCACAGTGGCTAAATCAGCAAAATTTAGAAAAAATGGAAGTTATTCTGGGGTCCACACAACCAATTAGGACGGGTCATCTAAATATCCAAGTGAATAGTTTTAAAAACGCGCGCTATCGCTCATGTGTTAAAGTCGCAACATGGTTTTCTTTCCATTCAATAACGAATGACTATTCAGAGAAAACTGCTGTATAGCATCGCATCATTCTAAATAACTGTTGTTCGTACTGGCCACTAAAATTTTGAGCCTTATTTTATAACAGTTCTCTCAAAAAATTATATTCAGCTCTCGATGTAACTCAGATCTCATGCACCAACTTATAGGATGACCAGCTGAATGAATGACATTTCTAATCCAACCATTCTTAAGTAGTCGGTCACACTAGGACCACATTTAATTTCCGCGATGTCAGCTCTGACGTACGGTAGCGGAAGGATTTCATAGAGATGAATTTAATATAATAACATATACGACGGTGATTTACCATCTGTAATAAAACATTGGATCACCTCAATGACTATGCGCGTCACACGTCCTGAGAATATGTGTTAGGGAAAAAGATCAATCTTCTAAATCATACAGTACTAATAGTAACAGTACCAATGATTAATATCAATAAGCAGATATAAACGGCTTTCAAAACAAAAGCACGATTCAAGCTAGTAGTCAAAACTTTAAAGAAGAACACGAACCTTCGTTTCAAAGTCGAAGCGGGCATAGTAATCAAGGAAGCCAGTGAACAGCTTGCCGACAGACATTCGATTCTCTGACCATCTATCGATCACATCACGGTGAAAATAAACATCACTATTTTCCACTAGAACCGGCACCGTTTGGTTATCTCGGAAATCCTGGAAGCAGATAAAACTTGAAAATTCCAATTTCACTAATTTCATGGGACAGATGAGAAAAATAAACATATTAAAAAGTGTAATATTGACATAGAAATTAAATAGCTCTGGAACAGGTGTACCTCTTGCAAACGTGGCACAACTGGTGGCACACAGTTTTGAAGATAATGAATAACTAGAATAGTGAAGGCATATGACGACAGTGAACCACGGGAGGCGTCACAAATATCGCAAGATTTTGCCCACTGAGACGAATCATAAATAAAAGGTGAACAAAGAAAATAGAACATTGAAATGTCAAATTTGTATACAAAAGTATTTTTGGATTCAGAAATCCGTCACATTCATTTAAAGCGCTGCACAATCTTCTAGGACACATAAAATAACTTGGATTCTTCTAGAACCCCTTTACCTTAAGAACCCATCGTACACCTTCCAATTAATTAGTACATTTCCAGAGATTCCACCTGACGCCTGTGCTGCTGCGTCCCTGTACCATAACCACAGGAAGTCGTCAGCCCTTGTGGAGGGGTATTTGCAATGTTATTACTGTTTTGTGGCAATACTTAATATTGGTTCACTCTAGGATGGGTTTCTGAATTAGAATGTCGAACTCCACCTCAGCTTGGTGTCACGATTTGAGGAATGAATTCAACTACAAGCAATTTGGACTCAGAAATACTTCCTAGCTAGGATGAAGCGGTAAACACAAGATGGAACAAAAAATATTAGACTTTTTCTTATAGGGTTTACTAAGCAATAAAAAACTGGCAATCTTTGGTAATTCCCAAGACCGACTTTCTGTTAACCTCGGCATTAATTGATAATTCAATGTTTTTCATCAATAAGCAGACACGAGGTTGTTAATATAGAATTTATTAGAACACAATTGCTGACGTTTCGGCGGTTTCGCCTTCTTGAGAGCCTGGAAAGGTCAAACTGAGATGTGATCTACTAAGCCAAACACTTTCATAACCCCAGCAGATAAAAGTTAACAAATAAATTTGCATTCGCATAAGAAACAGCTTCATTTAAACACCTACCGTTTATTTGTTGTAAGTAATTGGTTAGTTAGTTGGTTGATAGCAGCCGCGCAGAGTAATGCATGGACGACGACTGTGCACCAACTAATTTAAATGTTCTAATAAATTCTATATTAACAACCTCGTGTCTGCTTATTGATGAAAAACATTGAATCTTTGGTAACATTAAGAAAACCCGTTTTCAAATTTGTTGCTCTCAAAGACAATTGAGGAAGAAACATTGACTGCAAGAAAGAAACCATGCACCTGAAATAGCGAAAGAACTCGAAACGCAACTGTATCTAATTAATACGCAATGTAACAACCGAGTACACTAAAAACTCACCCGCTTCACCCAAACCCCTAAGGGTGCGACGCGATTGTCCCATTGGCAGTACTTCTTAAGCATTTCTGTATTATACAAAGCCAACACATTGTAGTAGCTTATGCTGCAACCACACCTGATTTTCAACAATATTTTAAAAGCTGCCAAATTCTCGATATAAAACCCACTCTCCTTGCACTGTTAGTTCCCTCCATGTAAACTTTACGATCGGCACTTTTGCTGCTGTAATTGCGCACACCTTGTCCACATCCTTCATGCTGTCCAACGATAGAGCGATCTCTCGTACTATTTTAACACCATCCACTTCCTGAAACTGGATTCGCTAACAATCAAAGCGGCACAGTACACAAAAACATAGCATTAAGTGAAATAAAATTACAAAAAGTTCTTAGCAGCAATTTTATTACTATTATTTTACCCAACATCACCTGTGTTGCACTGTACGGACAACACTTCTTACATTCGATTCGTTCCCTCACATCCACCATCCACGAAAGTTTTCGAACTCCATTTTGGAGTGTGAGTTCGGCTGCTGCGTGGAATTTTTTCGTCCTCGTCACGAATGTTATTGAACGCTGGTCGACTTTATTCTCCCTAGAACCCTTAGCTACGACAATCCCACGCGTGTGAGAGGGAGCTAGCCTATACCGAACAAATCTGGTACCCATTCCTTGACCTTGGAAGAGTGACAGGTTCGGTGGCCATAGTGAGGTCAAACCAGGCTTGGTGGGTTGCGCTGTCCACGTAATGAATGTGGTCTATAGCGATCCTTACAAGCACTATAGAAAACGGAAGGAAGAGAAAAATTCATCGAACGTTCAAATCTAGATAAAACTCATTCCTTTTCTGTGTTCTGATCTTAACAACCCACCGCTGGATTTCGTGTATACCCTTTCTGTCATTTCTCCGATTTTCGTAAACTCATTCATTGGGATGGTAGCATTCGTCTGTGCGTCAGAACGCAACTCAAACATCTACTGCGCTCTCTCATTGACAATGATAAATGACAGTTCGGCCTGGCTTTCCAAGGAATCCGGAGGTGAATATGCTATGCCATTCTTTCTTCTCTTACATAGTTACTCAAAGGCCGCCTATAAGATGGTGTATGTTGCGAAGAAGACTTTTCCAGCAAGACAGTGGCATTTGTATTTGTAGAAACTTTTGCGTAGACTAAATCAAGTTATGAAGGCGATACTAACGATAAGGTCTCTTATTATTTTATTTTATATGACTCGTCGTCACATCTATAGTGCGGATCCCAGCATTTCTAGCATGTGATTCGTTTTACACACATTCATAGTCCACAATGGTCTTCGAGAATTTTGAAGATTGTTTCGAAAGGAAGAACCGTTGGGACGACATATCCATGTATGAAGGCAGGATATGGTCATTGAAAAGGTCTGAGTAGTAATCGGGAATGATTTTCTCTATTGCCTCGGTGGACGCTGTAAGTATTCCGTCTGGCCGTCGGAGCGCAATCATCTTAGTTTCGTAACTGGCAAATCTACGACCATAACTACTGCTCTTCTCTCTTTAAGACTCTTTTTTGCCTATTGCCTGCATTGTTTTGCAAGTTCGAATGTGAGTTGGCGGTTGCCTGTAGCCCATGTGATTTCGCGCTGGCGTATCATATCGAGTGTTTCTGAGGACAGACTTCTCTTGGTGATTTTTAAACTCTTAGCTTTAATAACGCTAACGTGAAGATGTTGAATAAATCTATCGTACTCCTCGCCGATGTCACCAAGAGAAGCATCTTTCCAGCAGCCGAGTATTGAACTAAATTAGTCCCAGTTTGCGGTGGTTCTGGGACTTCGTTTTTTCAATGGAGCAGCATTCCCTCCTTTCCGTCAAGAACGAAATTTTGTACGAAAGAGGTGATTGACTGATTCTACGCAGAATTTTGGAACAACAGTGATATCGGATAGGGAAACCAATTTAATTTACTTCAATTTACTGTGATGTAGTCTATCTCGATATAGTACCCTCCATTGGGAGACTTCCACGTCCAGCGTTAGGAATGGAGTTTCTGGAATTACGAGTTACCATGAATGGCCTTGGTCGTCGTGATAAACTCAGACAGCCGCTCACCCTGTTCGTTCCACTCCAATCCGTCGGTCCCAATGTGTCGTTCTTCTGGGTCCAATCTTAACGCCAAAATCCCCAATGTTGACCTTAAAGAATGCATGGTCCTCCCTGTAGAACATGTTTAAGTCTGTAAGAGGCCTCCGACTTCGTCGTCGTTATAAGTCGATATTGGTGAGTAGACGACGAAGGTTTTTAAAACTGGCATTGATCCACATCTCTTCAATCGTAGACGCCCGATTCGGGGTGTTAATTGTTGGAATGCATCCATGCACAATGTCAAACTCATGTTGACGAGAACGACGACGCCTTCGACTCCTCTACTGTTGCATGTTCCAAGGAACAGTTCTTTTTCAGTGTCATAGACAACACAGTGCAATAGCCTCCCAACGGTTTACCGCCTCATCGTTGCTGGGTGGTGTTCCTAGGTATTGGGCTGCGATGCACGGCGGAGGGATTCATCACCCCGGCAGGGTCTCCCAAGCTGAGAAAGAATCCGACGTTGCCATCAAGAAGCCTACCTAAAAGTAAACCAATACCAGGATCAACCACCGCCCTGGTAACATATTAGTCGCATGGCGGCAAATCTCCCTCTGATCCACAAGGGCTGCGACTGCCTGTGGTGGTGACGACCTGGGGCAAACTTTGGCCAGGCTGTCCTCGGGATTCCAGGAAACCACAATGGCTTACCCAGCAAGTCCGAAAAAATGGAAATTTTACTGGTGCCCACACAACCAGTGAGGACGGGCCATTCAAGTGTCAAGTGTCGAGACAGTGTAGACTAGGTGTGGTCTTCTCGCCTCAGCCAGTCCGATGACGTTGTCACCTGCATGATCGACTCTTCTACTGAGGACTCAAATGCAAGCGTGCGTGCATTGTAAGTGTATCTTAGTCCTTTGTGATTTAAGCTGCTTAAAATGGTCCTGTAATTTAGCAGCCTCTCCGTACTCGTCCTACCCAACGCTGCCGAAGCGGAGGCCCTTTCAGATTCAGGGAATGAGGCCCGTTCATTTCACTGCTTACTTTTTGATACCCACTTTTTCGATGCGACTTCTACCCGCCTCCTGCATACTTCCTTGTCACTTAATCACGGGCTTTTGGCCGAGCTAACTTGTAGAATAGACAGCATAAACGAGAGCACACTAACGCATCAATACTTCCTCGTAAATACAGAAGGTATGTGTCAAGTCGGAGCTGCAGAAACAGGGAATCCATCTCGTGGACACACCTATGAATAAGGGGGAGCACGAGAACGCTTTCGGACCCCAATTAACCCTCTAGCTGCCACAAGAGGATGCGCCACATTGTCTTGCGGCTAACCGGCATTAGATTCCTCTATGGGCGAGATACCTGAGAGACTATTAAAAGTATCCACCAAAATTTGGTTTTTGGGAAGACATCGGATCGATCGACACAGCGACGCCATGATCAAAAAGCTCAGTGAAGTGGAAAAAAGTGAGAGAGCAAACCAACTATAGCATTCAAACTAAGAATTCCTGACGGGATAGAAAATGAATAGAGATGGACTTTTCAATCGGAGTATAAGCGCATAAGCACTAAATCTTCCGTGTAATAAATATGATAAACGACTTTATGAAAGGATTATCCAATGGATCCGAAAACGATATCAGCAGCTTCTACAGCCTGCCTGCAAAATGGATAGCTCCATATTTGTCGCCAGTTAACGTCAACCAGCCATCGATCATTGCATGACATTCACAGACATCAGACATAAAGCACACCGTTTACATAGACGATAATAGCAGTTCTACATAACAACTATAGATTATAGAGCGGAGTTAACATTAATAATAAAAACAGGTTACTACTGTATCCATGTTTGCAAGGTTCAGAAAAGTTCTCACTAATTAAAAATCAAACTAGTATCTTCTATGCTAAAAGATCGAGTAACGTAGATTTCGAAAAATTCTATCTACAGCGCCATGGCGACAATTATTCATGTTGATAAAAAAATCCGATAAGACTATACCAGAGGTTGTACATCTTCTCGAAATCGAAAGCAGATATCAATATCCGAGTTAGCAGCACCAAAACCGCTGATAAGTGATCCGAACAACTGAAAAACTTTTTCAATTGTGAAAAGAAAAGCTCGTTGACTAACGCGTTAAAAAAGACACAAAAACAACTCACACTAAGTCGGACTTGTTTCTGTAGTTCACGCTCCAGATGCAGACGCATTCGTTCCACAAATTTGCCTATGTTGTCCAACACCTCCGATTTGACTCGGTTCCTTTCTGCAATCATCGTTGAAACTTTTCAGTGAACAATGTATTCACAAAAAACTTTTCGCCCTAATGGGAAGATACAACACTGTTGAAAACTCCAACACTGAGAATATATTACCACATTTGCGGAAGTCTTTCTTTCATCACACAGAATCTACATGTAATAGATCGACAACCTTCCTATAACAAACGTTGTAACCGTCGTGATCCTATCGTAACTATTTTCTACATATCAAATATATCCATTATTGTGCGTTCGTTTGTCTACATCCAAATCTCACAGCGACATTGGCTTGATTTAACAATGAAATATTGGTATGCTGGTGAAGGAGGCTACGGTGTTTCTACTGTAACTGTACAATAAATTTGGATCTCAACTTTTGATCGATTTTCGATTTCTTCTCGCAAAAGTTAGGCAATGTATAATTCAGAAGATGTAAATGCAAATATGAAAACAAATATGCGCCCGAAAACTAGGTGTTTACCAATATTCCATTTGTTGTATCTTCGATATGGCACTTGATTTCTTATGTTATGTGAACAGCATGTACGTGGACCTAGTCCATAAACACATAGACTGTAGGAAAACGTTAATACTTAAGAGGATGAGTTTGCGCTATGATTCTCAAATTCTCAATTGTGATTGCAAAACCTCAGCTCAGTCACTACGGTTCACAACAACAAAACACGTTTATTAATCCCACGATATAATCGAAAGCCGGTTAGATTCTCCAAGCCCACGGTCATTCATTCTTCAGCTTCCTTGAACGTAATTCAGTGACTCTAATTTTTTGATTTAAACTTTATGCGACAAAAAATTCAAGTTTAAACGTAACCGCGACAAATGGCAACGAAAGAGAATTCGTTTAATTTAATATGAGGTTAAAAAAGAAAAAGTGCTAAGTCATTAAAGATTAATTAAATCAAGAAAGAGATAGAAGCTATAAACTGCCCAGTTACTAAACGAATTTAAAGACGAATAAAATCGCAGTTGCTCAACCGATTCACTCAAAATATATGCTGCAATAATAGAAAGTGAAAAAATGTTTCTCGGCTTCAGAATACTGCTATTCGTTCGTGGCAATCCCACAGATTTTCTTTAAGGTGTGTACAATATAATGGTTTCGCCATAACTATGGTAAATTTACACTCCTGTTATTGTGCAAGTAATAAACTCCACAGTGGCGACATATACTGGTTTCCATTTAAAAAATTTAAACAATTTAGTAAAATACACATTAAAATAGATAAATACGGTCCTAAATGCGTTAGCAAGTGATTGTTTAGTCCATTGGGTAAACTATGCATACCATGGAATCCCATGATCACGCTGTCTAACTCCATCCACTCAAATTCCTTCTTCGTATCTGGTATGTCTTCGACCACTGGCAACTTAAAATAGGTAGAATGGTGTTTTGTTTTTAAAAAAGTGAATCGAAAAGAATGCTGGAATCGAAGTTCTAAATGATATAGACAAGACCCTTTAAAACAATAAAACGAAGTCCGAATAACAAAGCCTAATTCTGATGATATCGGGAACCCAACACAAATCGAGAATCATTTCGAATTAAAAGAAAAGAACTAACACGCATCATGGGACATTTATCCGACCAATGACTATCACTTTCGCATATTACGCAAACAACCTGCGGTATCTGAAAAGAAGCAAATGCAGAAAACAAAGAGATGACATTACTGAAACGATTTACACAACTGTGTGCTCAATATAAAATGAACTCACATAACCATTGTTGAAATTTTCAGAGTTCTCGAAAGTATACATGAATTGATCAGTACCTAGTTCATTTACCTAAAACAGAACTCACATTAAAACTTTAACTGAATCGTTAAACCATCCACCTTTTTTCCATAGTTATTTTCGTCGAAATCCTTAAACGATATAG